GGGAGCCCTGCAGTGTCAGTTTGTCAAAGAAAGCTGAGCGGATACATGTGCCACCCCCCACGTACATCTCACAGTGTTACACTGGTGCTCCCTACACTGAGAGCAGGAGCCTATCCCTGCCCAGCCCTCCTGCATCATGCAGAACACAGCCTCTCAACTGTCTTCAATAACAGATGAATCAGAGTGACACGCATGACTTCTGAGGTTGGATAATCAAAGGAAGCATGACTTCACCCTATTGCTTCCTCTTTCAAACAGAGCACTGGGGGGCCTGAACCAGTGTGGTTTTAAATTTGCTTACTAAGGCAGGGTATGATTTCTTTGATATATAGCCTCTTTTGTGGAGAAAGAAGGTGGGGGTGTTGGTGATGGGAGTCAATGCAAAATATTTTAAAAAGCAATCATTCTAAAAGACAAGTTCAAGTAAAACAATTTTTTAAAAGTTTGAAAGTGGATGGAATATTAAGCATTTTTAGATAAATAAATTTGAAATGAATTGATTAAATTGTGTGTGTGTGTGTGTGTGTGTGTGTGTGTGTGTGTGAGAGAGAGAGAGAGAGAGAGAGAGAGAGAGAGAGAGAGAGAGAGAGAGAGAGAATTTCAGGTCACCTACCTCCTTGACTCATGTTGAGCTCTAAGTACAGTGACCAGTGATTAGTTTCATGGATGTTTTAGATCTAGGAGAGTGCTTGAGATCAACATTTTTATTCTAATTGAGAAAAAAATAGAATTTCAATTCCTATTATATAAATGAATTAGAGAATATACTTTTAGATTGGATTATATCACTGTGACAGAGCATCACTATTTTTTATTTAAAGAGTGATCTATACATTCTTTCACTCTTTTAAATTTAAAATTATTTAAATATGCTTTCTCCTCTCCTTCATCAAACCAGATTAAACTGGCTGCTAATCTGATTTTTGTTTGAGATGATCCAGAGCCATCCAAATCCATTCTCTGGTTAAATGACATGCAAATCAGATTAATTTGCGGGTGCTACAGACTCTTAGATAAGATTGTTGCTTCTGGGTCTTTAGCAGTAAAATACTCAGGATCTAATGTTTACTATATTTTTTGTTCTATCCTGGTAGTGTCTCTCCACAGGAATGCTGTTTGGCAGATGAATCCTCTAAAGCAAAGATCTACGCAGGGAGTTAGGAAATTCAACAAAACCATCTTAAGAAAGCAGAGGAAATATTTAAAGGTTAAATCGTCTTTATGACATTATAACACTGGGGAGTCAGATTAGCTGTTTGGGCATGCTTGAGAAGGGCCATACCAAAAAAAAAAAAATCAAAACCTTGTTATTTACCATTTGGTTTTAAAAATACTTTTTTTCAGTAAATGTTTTTGCTTATAAAAACTGAAATGTGGTATTGATTTAAAGCAATAGGTACACAAACCTCAGTCTAAATTTGGATCCAGTTTTGAGATGTTTCGAACCTTTTCTGTTTTGTGTTAGCCAAAATACCCCTAGATGGGTATTTTCTCAAATTATAGTACAGTTGAACATATATACACAGAAAGGAAAGGGGGAAGGACACTCATGCATGTGAAATTCAGGCTGTGTCCACAGCAGAGCTTGCACGGTTTCCTTCATTAGTTACTATCAATGCCTAGAGTAACAATCTGTGAATAATTACACTTCAATATCTGATTGTATATGTATATTTATGCATATATAAGGGCTTGTCTTCATTTTTACCTTGCAACATTCTAGATGTACCTGTGGAATGGGGCTCCAGGCATACCTATATTGATTGAGATGGGAAGAGCCACCCACCCTGTAGGTGGCACTAATCCCTAGGTAGGGAAACCTGACTTGTATTAGAGTGGAGAAAGCAAGTGAGTTGAGCATTAGCATGCATGTATTAGACTATCACTCTCTGCTCTTGACTACACACATAATGTGACTATCAAGTTCCTGATGATGTGACACCTCTACTATGATGGATTGACTATAGATTAGCCTAGAACTGTAATTTGAATAAACACTTTCTTAAGTTACATTGTCAGGGTATTTTATCACAACATCATAAGAAATTAAGATAAAGTATATCACACAATATAAATATATGTGGATCTATAAAGTAAGTATCCATAGCAATTTTCCCCTTTTCTATCACTTGAAAATAGATTCATCTCCCATACAGTTTCCTCTCCCTGCACTACTCCAAGTTCCCTCCCACACCTCCTGTCTCTCCCTGATCCACTACCCCCTCCCCTTTCCTCTTCAGAAATAAGCAGGCCTCCAAGAGATGACAGCCTAACAGGACAAAATAAGATACAATAAGACAAAGTGATAGATCATATTGAGGCTGGACAAGCAACCCAATAAGAGGAAAAGAGTCTCAAGAGCAGGAAAAAGAATCAGAGATACACCCTTTCCAGATCTTAGGAGTCCTGCCTGCAAGAGGTGCTGAGGCATGGTGGCACAGAACTTGTGTGAGTGGTCAACCAATTTTTTTTGGTTTAGTTTGAGGCCCATGCCTCAAGAGGGAGCCCATGCCCTACACTGCCAGAATGGCCAGGAACCAGAGACTAGACAGCCCTGAGACCTAGGGTAGAAACAAACATGACTTGCAAAGAAAATAAAATTCCATAGCAATTCTTAAGGAGCAGGGCTCTATTTGACTGTTCATTACATCACTAGTCCTAGAAGTTGTAGGTTACTATTACCGTCCCAAAGATGAGAAAACTGAGAAGCAGAGAGGTTAACTCCCCCACTGTAAATAGAACTGCATACATGATCTAATTCCAGGGGCCTCACATCTTTAGCCACATGAAATTTTTCAAAGGCTCTCATTATAACTGCTGTAATCATGACCCTCTGGATATTGTTTGTGTTTGGGATGTTTTACTTGCTTCAGTGAGCAGATTATGCAGTTTAATACAATTTTTATGACAGATTTGTTTTGACTCATCACAACAGCCTGAAAGAATGGACATCTGCTTGCTAATACATTTCATAATTGCTTTTAAAATAGGGCTTGTATATTAAAGAAAACAATCATCCAGGCCCCTCAAAAATCTTTTTAAGGAAAAAAATTGTTTCTGAAGAATAAACATGAAATGTTATATTCTAGGTCAGTTTTTTTTTATTAAAGTCAGAAATAGACTATTTCCTTATTGCCTAAATAGATCTATAATAGAATTAACGGGCACATTTGATGCTTGACTTAATTTAGGCCTTCTTTGCAGGTCCCGAATGAACACAGCTCTGTTAATCCACATTCTCTGCAGAAGACCTTTTGGGACCTAATCTCCCCTTAAGATCATTTGTTCAAATCACAGCTAAACACATCCTATGGTTTTGAATTTAATTCATTCATGTCATAGCTGGCTACAACCTTTACTTGGAGTCATAGGATTTCTGTGGTTTTCTAGCTTTAAATATAATGGGAAGCTACTTTGTCTGGTAAGAAAATGCCCTCGATATAGCAGGAAATAAATCTCATGGCTTGCTACTCTCATATGAATGTGACTCTTCTCCTTTCACCCCATCTTTCATGTCTCTCATGGCATTAACCTGGATCACCATTGCAACTGCCAAGTCCTGCCAGCTAGCTCTCTGGTCCTGTCTGTGAAATTCTGTCTGCTTTCCAGCACAATCCTCACCTTAAAAGAGAGAAAACCTGTGGGATCACTTTAGCATTTCACTTTAGTATTTTATTTTCACTCTCTGATGGCTCAAATGGATGAACTTCCTTGACTGTATTGATTTCTGCTTCCATTGATTTCTCTATGACAAGTATTTACCTCCTTAACTTGCTGCAGTTTGCTTTCCTGCCTTTCTAGTTGGCGGAAATCACCCTTTGGAAAGTCACCTGAGATGTGCTACTAATTGAGTCCACCTGTTTTCCTAAGGTCCTTCCTCCCGTACTGTTTTTTAACTTCTCTAAATCACCTAACAACCATGACTAGCATTTGTTAAGTTTCTTGTATACAGAATGGTAAGCTTTTGGTATGGATTCTTACAGAGCTGTGAATAGCCTGCTCAGTGTTCACCTGTAGATGGAGAGCCACTGCTCAAACAGATGAACTCTTTCATGTGGTTTCATCTGAGTTATAAAATCTTCTTCCTCATCTTACATTTCCTAATCTGTATTGTCCTAGATGTAACTGTCAGCTTAGCCATCTTTAGATTGCTACTCTTTGCATTACTCTGCAATTTTTTTCTTGCAAATATCTTTACCAGTGCAACGTAAACCCCTAAATTGCAATGACTGCATCTAAATATGAAAGACTGTACATCTGTGTAGCCATTATGTGTATTAAACTCACAAAGCCAAAAAGGTGAAATGGTCTTTACTCTTTCTGACATTTAGAGCATGAGATGACCAATAGAGTGAAAAACAATAAATCAATTTCATTGACTTACTCTTCATGAATGAAGGATAAATTATATGACAAGGAAACTTCAGAACTATCTAGATCACGATAATGGGGAAGATTGGTGTTTTTGACAGTGTGTATAAATTCAGAGGTATGAGTTTGTAACAGGAGGTTCATAGGAAACATTATTATTCCTGTAGAGTAGTGAGTTTATTTTCCCTACTTCTTGTCTACCACCAAGGAGAAGTGAGCAACTCGGCTGTCATTATCACCAGAACTAAATATAAAGGGGAAAGAAAGTGTGGTATTGATACAAGTAAGGAAACCTTGATGAGAAACCAATCATGAAAACAACAGTCTGTTCACTACTATGGCAGAGTTATAATATAAGGTAATAGACTCTAAGGATTTATAGGGTTGACAATGTTGTCAAATTTTAAGACGTTACCAAATAGAAAAATAGGAGGAAGAAAAAAAGAGAGAGATTAGATAATTGCAACCAGGGATCTTGTTCTTTAATCATGTCACCCTCCAATACTTTATAATTTTTCATCTGTTGGTTGTCATTAGAAATCTACTTTGAGTTGAGGGTTCTTATTTCTCCTTTTATTCTATTTAAATGGCTGGAAGATGCTGGGTGATGTCGATCTGTATGCTGTGAATATGTGTTGCTCTGATTGGTTGATCAATAAAGCTCTTTGGCCAATAGTGATGCAGGATAGGGTTAGGCGGGACATTCTAACTAGAGAGGAGGAAGGAGAAAGGCAGAGCTGAGGAGACGCTGCTAGCCACCTCCAGGAGAAGCAAGATGTAAAGTAGTGGTAAGCCACAAGACACATGACAAAGTATAGATTTATAGAAATGGATTAATTTAAGATATAGGAGCTAGCGAGCAAGAAGCTTGCCATGGCCATAGTTTAAAAACAATACAAGCCTGTACGTGTTTATTTGAGTCTGAGCAGCTGTGGACTGGGCATGGCACAGGAAAACTTTCAGCTACAGGAAGAGGTAATGTCAGTTTCAAGTATGAAGGCACTGTGGTATCCAATACACCCACAGTATCTCTCCTTTATTCACTTCCTCCTTCCCACAACTTATTGATTTTTTTTTTTTTTTAAAATACAGCATGCAATTTCCCCTTAGCAGGTTTAAAGGAAGCCAGAAGACATTCCTGATACAGGAAAAACAACACAATTTAGAAAGTCTACTGTTTCCAGTCTGTCAGATAACCAAGATTCTACTCAATTGACATAGTATGTCACTGTTAAGACTGTATGTGTGGGAAGTCTTGCCTATATTTTGCAGATACAAATGAAACATAGACTAATCCTCAATGAGGGGAATTTGGAAAAAAAAACCTATGAAAATTATACATCGAAATGCTATTTGAGTCCAGTTTTCTTCCTGAAAAGTATATTCAGAGTTATATTTACAAGAACAAATACACAGCAAAATGATTTACATAAAGGGTATTCATAGTGGCATTACTAACAATACCAAAAACATAAATGATAACAATTCTTTGTATGAAAGGAACTCACTAAATTAGTTTTGGTCTGCTTATATCTACAGATAAAAGTAATAATTAACTGTAAATACAAATAATAAAATCTCTCTCTCTCTTCCATATACATATATATATATATGTATAATTCCAAAGATATATTATTTAATTAAGCATGTAGCAACCAAAGGGGCAGTATACCAAATACAGTATGCTATTTTTCTATAAGTCAAACAGAAAATGCAATTATATATATGCATATATACATATTAGTTTTGGAAAAATTGCTAAGCTAATAGCTGAGATTGGCTTTCCCAAAGGTGTTTATGTGTAGTACAGAACTCTTAAAAGTGCGTAGAAAGATATCTCAAGTCCATCTTTGCCTAATATATGGAAACAGTGCTCCTTAGGGGTTGAAAAAAATGGCTGAACTCAGACTAGGGCAAGATTACAGAAGATGAGCCTAGAAAATCTTGAGAGGCATAAAAGCAAAAACATTTCAAAGACTAAGAAGGTTATGTTAAAAGTGCACAGGAACCAGCTGGAAAATGGCTTTCAATGGGACAATTTAAGCATTAAAAGACTGACTGCAATTGAATGAAACATACTGAATGCATAAAAATCTATGAGTTCATGATGCTCTAAAAAAGATAGAGGCAGATCGGGAGGGAGTAATTATAGGCTGCAAACAATCTTATCAAAATACTAATCCACTGATCTGCATTTGGACATAGCCAACGCATCAGCCACTTTTCTTTTAAAAAGGGTTGGTGGGCAATTAAAGGGAACAGTACATTTTTCCTAGATGCTTTGTGTGAATTTTTCAAAGTAGTAAAAATAACACCAGATGATGGAGGAAAGCCATCCTACAGCAATTTGAGCTAACAATTGTAGAAGAAGCAAGATAGAAAAATTACTGTTTTCCACCACTAATGAAGGATTAGTCCTATAACTAAAGGAAATATTAGTGCCTCTAGACTGATGGCAACTTATCAATAGAGGGATCAGGCAATAGCTATTTGAACCAAGGATCAATGTTTGCATCACTAAAAGTGAGACCACTAGGCATGTATGCTTCCTGGGGAGAAAATTGCTTTAAAGTACGTAGCAATACAAAGCAAAATGAGAAGGGGGTGATCAATGGTAGAAGAATGGGGCAATGTTGACAGGTATCAAAACTGGAGATAAGTGTACAGCTAATATAATAAAGAACCTCATTGGTTTCCTATAGAAATCTTTTAAAATTAAAAATGTCAAATGGAAGTTCCTGTTTAGAATCTCATTCCTCTCAGACCTAACATGTTTCCAATCTGAGATGAAGTACTGAGGTTTCTATAAAGGCTTCCCAGGGTGATGTCATTTAATCTGTTTTCTTCCCAGAATTAATTCTTCTGCTTTCATCCATATTAGTGGACAAAGGGCTCCCAGTGGCTCAGCTGTAGCAGGTTTAATTTTGTTTTATCCTACGTCTTTCACAGGTCATTACTGACTGCTCCTTTTGAAAACAGTTATCAACAGTTATCATACACACACACACACACACAGAGAGAGAGAGAGAGAGAGAGAGAGAGAGAGAGAGAGAGAGAGAGAGAGAGAGAGAGAAATAAAAATAAATAACCTTCTTTACCAAGACAACCATGGTAGGGTAGGTTAGTATTTCAGAATGAACATCCATGGAGAGCGAAGTGAATCTTATTCAATGGCTCTTTAACTTTCTCCCCAACAGTTAGAAATTCTCACAGAGACAGTTGAACCCCCTCCTGACTCATTTTTTAGCTAATATTTAAATCTGTCCATTCAACATCTACAAGAGCCCTGGCTACAGCAGAACACATAAAGAATGGTCCAGTTGACTGTGTCCTTTATCCTCCATATCTTCATATTTAGTCATTCTTCTGAATGAACTATCCTTCCCTTATCACCCTAATTAGGTTGAATCTGAAACTCAGTTCAACTGGCAATTCTTAGAACATGCATGCAGGCACAACTTGTCTCTTCACCACCCCTTCTTAGTCCCCCTTTCTATCCCCAAAGATGGAATTACTCAGGCTGTCCTAGGATCATCTCCCCTTGCCTTTTGCTCACATTAGACTCTACTCAACTCAGAAGAAATTATCTGGACCCTTCTCTATGATCTCAGAATACAGTATATCTCCTCAAAACAAATATTTTCATATTGTGAAAGTAGAAGATGGAAAAATGGCAAGAATGTACAAAATCCATTTTCCATAATCAGAGGTAGATCTTGAAGCAAATGGCATTAAAAATCCAGAAGAAGATGCAAAACAGGATACTTGTTTAATTCCAGATAAGTATGAGAGCACTATATTTCTGAGAAAGAAGGGGCATGGTCTTTCTTCTGGACAGGATAAAGGTTAGCACAAATGGGAGACCAAGGGCTTATGAATAGAAGCTTGACACAATCCCTCTTATTACAAAATTTAGCATGTCAGGTAGATCTAAAAGTCACCAGTATTAACAAGGCAAAAGTATATTTCTAAGGAAACAGAGAAAAATTACTCTTGTGGTTCTTTGTTAGGAACTTGGTAGCAAGTGTTTATTACTTTCATTTAATTGTCTTAAGTAAGAATTTCAGCAAATGCTCTCCTCTGAGTGTTCCAGGATATACCCCGTATATCCTGTTCAAGTCTCTATCCAGAAACTACATACCTTATTGTACAAGAGTCTAGAGATGCTGCTTTGCTGCAGTTTAGACACGCCACTTATTTACAAGTGGAAGGTTGTTTTAAACATTTAATAAAAATGCACATTCCTTGAACACAATATTCTCTCTCTGTCTCTCTCTGTGTCTGTCTGTCTGTCTCTGTCTGTCTCTGTCTCTCTCTCTCTCTCTTTCTCTCTCTCTCTCTCTCTCTCTCTCTCTCTCTCTCTCTCTCTCTCTCTCAGTGCTTTAGACTAACTCTTTTTCAATTATTCCGCATAGCAATTAAGTAGCATCCCTAAGGCACAGCACCTTTCCTTCCATTCCAGTGACCCTGTCTTAATGGGTCCCTATTATCTTACAAGAAAATTGCAAAGTAGTGTATTCTTGGGAAGTGGCCATTCCATCCATTTTCCCGCTCCCACTCCTGTGACAGTTGTCATTTTCTGCCTCATGGCTAGCAACAAGCTTTCAGTTTCCTGAGTAGCATTGAAATACCCAGGTGCTTTGGATTTTTGATTCAGTGGGCCTATGTACACTGATTCCAAATGTGAAGAGCAAACAAGCAATTATCCACATGCTCCACACCATGACTCCTCTTGTAACTCAAGTGAAAAGTAGTTTGACAATGTCTCCCAGCCCCTGCACTCTAGCTTACTCCACAGGCTTCGTGCCATGCACTCCCCTTGTCCTGGGATGCTGCCAGCCTGGCTGATGAGCCCTAATTGCAGGAATGTAACTCTCTGCCAGCAATTATGCAGGCATAGTTAAGTTAGCTGCACCCCCACCCACTGCCTGGGTCACTCTGCTACTTTTTGTATAGTGACCTGAAGAGTCTAGCTGAGCTCTAAGAAACAATATTCTCTGGTTGAGGAATGAACAAGTAACTTTTGCAATTTAAATAAAACTCTTCTTTCTGGGGTAAATCTGGAACAAAATTACTAGGTGACATGTGGCAGACTTTTGTTTTCCACACACTGTGAATTACTTGTTGTGAATTTTTATTGTGAATACTTATTGTGAATATCTTATTGTGACTACTAGTGACTTGGATAATTGTTTGTCCTTGGCCAGGAATGCCAAGCAGATACTTTTGTTTACTGTGTTGACTTTGCTTGGGGACAAGTTTTTAGAAAGCTGGTTGAAAAGCTTGGAGGAATTGAATGGGGAAAATTAAAAGACTGATTTTCACTTTCAAGGGTAGAATCCAGTATCTGTACCTTACTGTTCATTCCAAACCCATTCTGTAGAAGGTATTGTACAAAATCATCTCCTTCTAAATACTACAAGGTTGATATGATGATATATGTTGATATTGATGGTAAAGCATTACCATTATGAATTCTCAGATGATTCAGATGGGCTTGCCAAATACCCATTCTTGTTTCCTGTTAATGACACTTGTAAGCAAAGACAACGAAGATAAACCCACATATCCCAGACTCCTTTGCATTGCAGGCTCTAAATATGATTGGCTCTGTAGGATTCAGAACTTAATTACATGAAACGGAAGGCCATGCTCAGGAACATCACATGACTTGGTAGACCATGTCTGGCATAACATGAATCCAAATCCAATAGATTTGGGGGGAGTTTTGTGGTTTCCAGCTCCCCTATAGAGGGCAACTGACAGCTTTTCCAGTGTCTGTAATGAA